GATTGTTTAGGTGTTCCGAGTGGTTCCCTGAAGCACCACGTCTGGCTAGCTCGTCTACTTTACAAATGCCATAAATATTCCTATGACCGGGAACCCAGATTAGAAAAATATTGAACGGCGTCGACATCTCATTTAGAGATGTGTAGCAGTCAAAGACCGTCCTAGATGTGAATTGGACAGAACACAAGGACTTTAAAGCAGCTTGACTATCCGATAGTATATATATTTTCTTTTCAAGTATATTACCTACTTCTAGACAAGCTAAAGCTTCTTTAATGGCAATTACTTCTGCCTGAAAAACACTACAGTGATCCGGAAGCCTATAGCAGGAGGATATATTCAGCCCCTCTGAGAAAACTCCACTGCCTACGCCGCTTCCAGCCATTGAACCATCAGTAAAAATTTGCAGAACCTCACCTGGGGAGGGACTTCCTGATAACCAAGCTTCCCTGGATGAGAATCTAAAAATAAATTTTCTATCAAAATCGGAGAGGTGTAGTCAATGTTATTTGAAATAGGATTGAAAATATTTAGAATCGAGCCGTGCCCATAGTCACTAGCCTTCTATTGTGAAGTAGCCTTAAGTCTTAGGGCAGATGATGCTGCCAACTGCTTACTGATAATGTCAAGTGGCATTAAGTGTAGCATTAAATCTAATGCCATAGATGGTGTTGTACACAGAGCACCACTAATACAGAGTTCAGCCCTGCGTTGAACCCTGTTAAGTACAGTACAGTACGAAGATTTATCAAGAGCTGTCCACCATATGGCTATGCCATACAGAAGTATTGGTCTATTGACAGCAGTGTATAGCCATTAAGCGATACGTGGTTGCAATCCCCACCTTTTACCTATAGCTTTTTGATAAAGGAGCTGTTCGATTAATGCGGTTTTTTAATTTTAAGACCGTAGTTTGGTTTTCTTCACATCAAAATTTTATTTTTAATATTTTTAATTCACAATATATATATGATATTTTAAAATTTACTTAATACATTAATTCAAAAATACAAATCAACTGCACGACAAGAAACTCGACCGAACACGACGCTTGCTCGCACAGGAAGACACAACAACTTGCTAACAGGTAAAAGCAGCCCACACACAGTGGTTCCCAGATTGATATATGTAATTTTAAACATTTCTCCCACCTAGACGTGGAAATACGACCGGATCTTGCGTCTATATTACTCGCTTGCTTCAGGACGTCCTTCAATGTCGATTGGTAAAACAGAGATCTTCGAAATTGGCCGTTTCACAATGGCGGACTGTGTTTTTATGGTTACAACACGAACAGCACCGTCCGTGCCAGGATGGACTTGGATAATGCGGCCAAGCAACCAGGAGCTTAGAGGCAATCGTTCATCTCGAATTAGGACCAGTTGACTGGCTGTGACATTTGTTTGTCTTTTATTCCATTTGTTTTTAGCATGTAATTGTGTTAAAAATTCTTGGGACCAACGGCGCCAAAAGTCTTGATACATCTGGCTTAACATTTTCCATCGGAATAGTACACCAATCTTTGTATTTAGCAAATTAGATTCAGGTGCGGCAGATGGCGCTCGTCCAATCAAAAAGTGTCCTGGTGATAACGCTGATAAGTCTGTGGGGTCGTCAGATAGAGCCGTAAGCGGCCGCGAATTTAAACAATTTTCGACTTGTTTTAATAACGTGTAAAATTCTTCGAAAAATAAAGTTGCCGTGTTTTCTACACGCTAAAGATGAAATTTCATGCTTTTTACTCCTGCCTCCCATAGGCCACCGAAATGAGGCGCTGCGGGTGGTATAAAGTGTCAATTTATGCCAACGGTTGATGCAAGCACAGACCCAGCTTCAATTTGTTTTTTAAATAATTTAATTTCATCTTTCATTAAAGCATCAGCACCGACAAAGGATGTACCACGATCGCTGTACATATCTGAGCATATGCCACGGACTGATACAAATCGCTTTAACGCTGCTAGAAATGTTTCAGATGTCATATCACTCACAAGTTCCAAATGAATAGCTCGGGTAATAAAACATATAAATAGAGCCACATACCCCTTGTAAGTACGATGGCCTCTCCCTCTTGTTGCTCTCACATTAAATGGACCAACATAATCCACGCCCGTGTGCATGAATGGTTGTGATATGTTACACCGTGCTAGAGGTAAGTTACCCATAATTTGTGCTTGCGGTCGACAGGCTTGACGAAAACATGTAATGCATATGCAGCCGCATATGCTTGATTTGATGAATCACCAAATGCGTGTAATTTAATTGCACTTGTCGAAGTGGTGTTTATCCAACGTGGGATTCGAATGTGATGTAATTGTTGTAAGTTAATACGAAAGTTATGCCAAATATTTGCCGTCTCTATTGACAAGGGATCATCTCAATCTGATCCAGTACGCCAGAGTTGTTGCAAAAACATCTTTCCTCGAATGATAACAGGCGCCAAGAACCCAAGTGGATCAAATAACTTTGATATGTCAGACAACATTAGTCGTTTTGTGTAATGATGGTTGTCACAAGTTACATTGACGTTGTAACCAAAGCTGTCGGATTTTATATACCAAGTAACACCAAGTGTCTTAGTTTTTTACTCGGTGTTAATTCCCACATCATCGGTGTGAGCTTTCACGTCTTCAGTCAGAGTGCTTAAAACTTCATTTGAATTCGAATTAAATTTACGTAAAGTGAAGCCTGCAGTTGCTAGAAGCCCCTGAAGTTCGTGCAATTTTTCTGCAGCTTCGATTGGAGTGTACAGTTGTACGCTCAAAGAAGACTTCACAGTATATTTCATCTTTTGTTAACGGAGTGTGGTTTGTTATTTCTTCCAATTCCCAAAATTTATGTAGCACTTCGTGCAATGTTGTCCGAGTATGACAGCAATTAATTTGTCCTTTCACTGAAATACCCTTTGGTCGCGACAGTCCACCAAAAATTACCCAACCGAGTTGCGTATATTGAGCAACAATATTGTTAGTTGGATGCCGTTTTAGTCGCTCATAGACAATAGCAGCATAATCTGCAGTGCTCAAAATCATATCGACTGCCCCCGGAACCTGTAATTAAGGATCAGCTAAATCTAAATTCATAAACTCACCAAGCGCTTCTTTCGGTATGGGAATGGTTGGGGTAATGCTACCCACTCGTGGAAGTATTAGGGCAATACAATTTATGTTGAAATCGGATTTTAGCGAATAGATTGTGAATGAAATCATTCCTCTTGAATTGGCGACCTTTTCGCCATTTGCACCATTCACCGGCACTATGATATTTGTTTTGTCCAATTTTAATCGCTGCATGATGAACTCGCTGACAAACGTTGCTTCCGACGCGCTATCCAAAAGAGCACGCACAATAAGCTTCTGGCCGGAAGGACTCCTTACCGCTATCAATGCAGTGCCAATTAAAACAGTCTGTAGATGTAAAGTTCGAGCACCTTGATTAGCACTGGAAATGTATGTGTTATTTGATGTGACAGTGTATTTCTTAGTCGCTTCAGTGGTCTTTTCCGGTATATTTGAGTAATTCTTTTCTCCACTACTTCCACTATGATCATGTAGTAATGTATGATGTGCTGCATTACATTGCAGACACCGATATTTCGATGGGCAATTATGACCCATGTGTCCCGTTTTCAAACAATTGAAACACAACCTTGCAGCTCTGACTACCTCATATCTCTTTGTTCCAGTCATTTGCCAATATTCTGCGCAATATGCCAGCTTACCTTGGCAATACACGCATTGTTGAACAGTGGTATGATGGCTTTTCACGAACCCCTTTGTTCTGATAGATGTTACAAACCTTTTCTCCTGATTAGAGTTATCGGTCATGCTATTAACTACCTCCAGCGAATTTATTCGATTTTCTAGGAAATTGACCAGCTCCTCAAACTTTGGAATTTGTTCTAAACTGTTTGTTGACAGCTCCCAAGCTGAAAGTGTTTTCGTGTCTTATTTTTGGAGAAGGGTAAAGACCAACCAATCGTCCCAATGCTGTACTGGACGACCCAATTGTTCTAACGCACGCACAGCTGACGTGATGGTATCACATAACAAGATTAAACCATTTGGTGAATCATCAGACACCGTTGTTACATTAATAATTTGTTGTAAATACGCATTAAGAATGATCCTTTTGTTCTCATACTTGTGGACGAGTAAACTCCATGCTACTGCCCAATGTGAATCTGTTGTAGTAATATTGTCTAGGGCGTGTTGAGCGTCCAACACTAAAGCATCTTTTAAGGATTGAAGTTTCTGTGTATTAGACAATACAACGTTATTTGATACAACTGACGTGAATAAATCCTTAAATGCATATCAGTGCAGATAATTACCATCAAACGACGGAATTTTAATGCGTGGCAGATTAGACGTCAATTCCATGCTTGACATACTTTTAATATCAGTTTCGTTGTTACCTGAAGAGTCTATAACTTCAGTGTTTGCTAACGCATCGATAAGCTCTCCCATCACTTCCAAATAAATCATTTCAATAACCATGTAACTGTCTTCGCTGACTAACGCTTTTATTGAGTCACTCGCTTTTTCCACCTTTGCACCGTCATGAATATAGGGCAACAAATTTTCTCGAGCTTCCTGGTACTGTGTCCAATAACTTTCCAAGAGATTTTTTCTTGCAGTAAAGAAACCTTTTGTTTGCTTGCTTTTAACCGTTTTCCGTATGTTGGTGGAGAAGTTTTTCAGCATGGATTGCGTAGCTTCCAATTTTCTTGCGATTTTGTGCATTTTCAGATTGTATGCGAATCAAATGCGATTGTTTTCGAATCCAAAGTAAATAATTGTGCCCAGCGGCTTGTCAAATCCAAAGTAACTAATTGTGCCCAGCGGCTATAAAATGTGAAAGATATGCCCAGCGGCTATAAATTTGAAAATACGCCCAGTGGCTATAACTTGAGAAATATGCCTAGAGGCTAGACGAAGCACGCGATAATCGTAGACAGCAATACACAATTGAACGCAAAAGATATGTTGCTCCATCAAATTTTATTTCACTACTTTAACAACTAATAATACTATAAAAAAATTTACTTAATAAAGAAATAAATGAAGAATAATAAATAACTGCACGGCACGAAAACTCGATCGATCGCCTCGCTAGCTCGCACACACACTAAAAGAAAACCTTGCCAATAGATAAAAAATGCCCACACACAGTGGTTGCCAGATTGATATATGTGTAATTTTAAACAGCATTCGATAAACGGTTGGGTGCTCTAGAGTATAATATGTAGTTTTTAGACTATGTCTAAAACTTATTTTATGGAACGCAAATGGCCTAACCAAACACAAAAATTAACTAGAAATATTGCTTAATAATGAAAAATTGATATTACCATAATCGCTGAGACTCATTTTACGAAACAATCTTATATTGTAGAAAATATAGTTTTCACATGAAATAAAATACAACTGTATGCTGCGAGTGTGCATTTATTACTGCTTTTAACAAAAAAGAATAATTCAATAGTAAGTATAAAGTTAACAAAAAAAGAGATTAAAATATTAATTTATGATAAGAGATAAGTGATATTTATGATATTAAGAGATATTTTTTACATCCTGGGACCCGGCGAATCGCATATTAATTCAAGCGGATATAGTAGTTGAATAGGTCTTCTCATAATTTTCTGGTCTTTGAGTCTGACATCGCACGCTCTGGCACGCCCATCTCGTCCAATGTAAGTAGCTACCACCACTGCCATTCGCCAAAGAAGTCTTGATTGATGTTCATCTTTGACCAATACTACATCGACAATATTTATAGATTTTGTTGGTTTAGACTTATTAAGATGAATTGAGCGTAATTGAGTTAAGTATTCGTCCTGCCATCGTTTTAAGTAACGCTTTAAAATATAAGTTCTGGATTGCCACATTTTTGCTATAGTGCTGCCGTCAGACAAGAAATTTTCTTTGCTTAACACACCACATTCTCCCAAAAAATGTGCAGGTGTTAACGGCGCCAAATCGTTACAGTCAGTAGTAATATAGGTGAGTGGTCTTTGATTTACCACACTTTCTACTTCTGTTAGTAAAGTATCCATTTCATAAAAAGTCAGCCTTGCTTTCCCAATTGCTGCCTTTAAACAGTTTTTTACAGTTCGTACAAGCCGCTCCCAAAATCCACCCCACCACGCTGCACGTTCTGGAATAAACTTCCACTTAATGCCATTGGCTACAGAAACTTGGTTGATTCTGGTTTTCTCCATTAGTTGTTCAAGCTTTTGCACTTCCATACAACTTCTTTTAAAAGTTTTCGCATTGTCTGATATAATAATAGAGGGGGTGCCACGCCTTGCAATAAATTTTCTTAGTGCGTTTATACAGCTTTCAACAGTTAAATCTGCTACCAGCTCCAAATGGATTCCTCTAGTTGCTGCACAGGTAAACAACATTATATACGCTTTTTTAAAATCATTTTTGTTGTCAGTAGAAGTTATATATAACGGACCAGCAAAGTCTATGCCAGTGGTTTCAAATGGTTTGGATACAGTGACCCGTTCGATAGGTAAATCCGTCCAGTTTTCAGATGCATTTTTCCCATGCAGCCTTTTGCAAATTATACACCGCTGTACAACGCTTTTAATAAGTTGCCGGCCTTTAACAACCCAAAATCGCTTTCGAATCTTAGCTAAGGTAGCATTAATTCCACTGTGCATAAACTTTTGGTGCGCTTCCAAAACAATCAACTTAGATAAATATGACTCCTTTGGTAATATAATTGGATTGCTTAGATTTTCATAATCAGTCGTTGGTAAACGACAAGAAAGTCTCAGTAACCCATCTATTAAAATGGGATTCAATTGTAAAATTTTTGATTCCGCTCCAATTTTTTGTCCTTTCTTCAACGATATTATTTCTGACAAAAAATACTCACTTTGTGCACAACCAATCCAATAAACTTCCGCTTTATTTAATTCCTCTAGAGTCAAATCATCAATCTTCTCCAATTCAGTATTTATAGATTGCTGAATTCCTTTATTTTTTATATTCCTTAAAAATCGAAATACGTGTGCGGTAACTCTTAACATTTTCCGTAATTTACTAAACTTTTGTATATCAAATATAGTTTCCTTAGATATATTGCAAACATTCTCTTCTTGAAGTACTTTTGTGATAAGAGTTGCGCTATCCTCAATTTTGCTTATATTCCATTCGTTGCTTTCCATGATAAGCCATGATGGACCCCATTTCCATAATTCTGACTGCATCAATTGTTTGGCTTTTATACCACGAGTTAACAGATCTGCTGGATTACATTTGCCATCACAATGACGCCAGTCATATACATTTGTTAGTTTGTTAATTTCGCTTACTTTTGAGCTGATATTTTGTTTTACTTGTTTACCGTCTCCAGTTATCCATTGCAGAGCTATACTTGAATCTGTCCACATGTTAATAGAAGAAAAATTTATGTTTAACTCAAGCTTTAAAAAATTTGCTAATCTGGCTGCAATAAGCGCGGCTGTTAGCTCTAACTTTGGTAAAGTGAGTTCGCTTTTATTTTTATTTTTAATAGGACTTACTCTGTTTTTAGAACATATAAAGCTTGTAAAAATTTTGCCACTAGACAAAATTTCTCGTAGGTATGCAACAGCTCCGTATGCAATCGGGCTCGCATCTGCAAATACATGTAGCTGAATTGTTGACAAATTGGATCTTACCAGGCATCGACTAATAGTAAAATATTTTAAATTATGTAAATCATCACACCATTTATTAAAATCATCCGCTAAGCTTTCAGGTAAGGTAGAGTCCCAGTCTAAATTTTCTTTCCATATCCTCTGCAATAGTGTTTTGATTTTTACAGTAAACGGACCTAAAAATCCTAAGGGATCATAAACTCCAGCCATAATCTTTAATACATTGCGTTTAGTGGGTCTTAAATTCCGAGAAATCTCTATACAGTGATCTAAATTTATAAATAAATTATCTTCATAAATGTTCCATAAAACGCCAAGCACCTTTTGTATCGGATGCTGCTCTTCATTATTTTATTCAAATTTTCGTCGTAAGTCTTCGCTGTTGGAGGTCCATTTCCGCAAATTAAAACCACCTATTTTCATTATTTTCGTTGCAATGAGGTATAAATATTCAGCTTCTTGAACAGTTGATATACTAATTATTAAGTCGTCTACGTAAAATGAGTTTTTTAGTTTGTCACATATTAAACCATATTGCTCAACATTGCCTTGCAGATGTTGCTGCATTGTCGACGCTAACAAGAAAGGACTAGATGTTACACCAAAAGTTACCCTTGCCATTCGATAAGTTGCAATTTCCGCTGGTTTGTTATCATCTCTTAAATTTTTATACCAGAGGAAACGATGACTATCTCTATCATTCTGATTTAATGAAATTTGTAAAAATGCTTTTTCTATATCTGCACTCATTGCAATTTTGTGACAACGAAATCTTAGCAATATCGAAGTTAAATCTGCCAATAAGTTCTCACCTGAATCAAGCATATCATTAAGTGATGCCATTCCTGGGTTACTTGAAGAGGCGTCGAACACAATGCGCATTTTTGTTGTAATTTTATCTTCTCTGTACACTGGACGATGCGGCATGTAATATGTTCGCTCATTACTATGGCCATCTGGTACTTCCCCTGCTATTCCAGAATTAATTAGCTCGCGCATTCCAGTGTCGTATTCGATTAGTTTATTATGATCTTTAAATAATTTAGAACTAAGAGTTTTGAGTCGATTTAGAGCATTATTTTTATTATTATGAAGGTAGACCGGTAATTGTAGCTGCTTTGCCAAATATTCGGTAACATATGTTCCTTGACTTCCATTGTCCATAATCACTCTTGTTAAACATTTAGATTCATCACTTGAAACTATCGCTTTAGCGGTTTGTAAATAAACTTCATTTTTTCCAACATTTGACATTGTGTTCAGAGCTACTGATGAATTTGATGTGCTTGTTTCAGGCAATGCTGGTTTTTCCTTTGTAGTTGTTACCGATTGGCGTTCAACCAAATTGTCTACGCTGTTTAGTTTAAACGTTTTATTCTCACAAATAGCACTCATATGGCGACCACTGCAAATGGAACATTTTATCCACTGATTTTTACAAAACTTAGAAGTATGATTTGCCTTACCACATCTGAAGCACCTACCTTGACCTTTTAATATATTTTTCTTTTGATTAATTCCAATTGTTTTGTCTTTGCAATCACTTGTATTATGATTTGCGCGTTTACAAAAAATGCAATTTCTGTAAATTTGCTCAGAAGAATATAAACCAACGGCTGTGCCTCGTGCTGTCTTTGTTTTGTCATTTTCCCTTTTATCTGCATTGCAGTGAGTTGACATTGTTGCTTTTTCTAATGCTTCTACTTCAATTCTGATATGTTCTAATAACGTTATCAGCTGATCATCATATTTTATTTTTGTTATGCTTTCACCATTTTCTGTCGCCGTTGAATTGAGCATAGTCGAATGGTGAATACCTCTTTTTTTCTCTTTATGAAATTCTACTCTTATATTCGGAGGAATTGCTTTTAATATTAGAGAGTATACCATGATTGTGTATTGAGAAGAAGGAACGCCGAGAGCCGTGAGTGTTCTAATTGATGATTTTGTTTCATTATACAAACTTCGTAAACCTTTTATATTCGATGATGAATGTACAGGTTGAACGTTAAGTAATTTTTGGATGTACTTTTCGATTATCTTTTCTCTGTCTCCATATTCTTCCAACAACAAATTTAAAGCGTCTTTGTAACATGCTTCTGTTGGAATGAATCCCGCTATTTTCGCTGCTGCTTCACCGACTAACGCTTCATTTAAATAATTAAATTTTGTTGCTGCATCTAGCTTTTTATTATCATGTACAGCTACTTTAAATTGCTCCCAAAAGGGCAACCAACTTTCAAATGCTCCGTTAAATTTTTTCAATTCTATAGGTTTAAGTCTGACTCCGTTACTGTTATTGGAATTTTCAAAGCCCTGAATTATACTTTCCTTAAGGTCTGAGTGAAATGGTTCGTTGCTGGAAATCTTCAGCCGCTGTATGTTGTATTCAAGTTTCGCAATAACTGCTATTGCTTTGTCATCATAATCAATTACTATGTCAAAATCTTTGTCATCCTGAACCATTTCATCAGCCTTTTTAACTTTTCGTGGGCGTTCTGAAGCCGCTTCAGGTTAATAGCCAGACCTTCTTCAGTAATGTTATCAGGCTCGTTCAAATAATTATTGATCTGATTACACAACTTTGTAAGTTGTGTGCGGCACGATGTCCTATATAGTGGGTCGCTCATATTTTATGATGAATTTTATTTTACGATAAAATTTAAGTATTTAAGTTTCTTTTACACTCGCCCGTTAGATATTCTTCGTTTATAATTTTGATAAAAATTTCTTTTTTAATTCGCTTTTTAATTAAATCGCTTTTTAAATTTTACTATAAAATTTAAGTATTTAAGTTTCTTTTACACTCGCCCGTTAGATATTCTTCGTTTATAATTTTGATAAAAATTTCTTTTTTAATTCGCTTTTTAATTAAATCGCTTTTTACTTGCACTATTATATTAGAATATCGACAGTTGTCTTCCCGGGTTTCGGCACCATGTAGAAAATATAGTTTTCACATGAAATAAAATACAACTGTATGCTGCGAGTGTGCATTTATTACTGCTTTTAACAAAAAAGAATAATTCAATAGTAAGTATAAAGTTAACAAAAAAAGAGATTAAAATATTAATTTATGATAAGAGATAAGTGATATTTATGATATTAAGAGATATTTTTTACATATATCAACTTTAAACACTACTCCTTATACCATACCACTCACCTGGATAATTGTAGAAGGGGTGGCAGCGCTGTAATAATAAAAAATACCATCAAGCATCACTTAAATGAACAAATCAGCACGCAGGAATTTCAAGCTACATCCGTTTCAGGCGAAACATTGAAACAACCTCTGACCTTAACTGCTTTGTACAGGACACCAAGACACCAGCTAAAATGCGAAGATTATTTCGCTTTTCTAAATCGTTTCCAAGGTCGCTTCATAATTGGAGGTGACTTTAACGTAAAACAAACCTCATGGGGTTCAAGACTTATCACAACTAAAGGACGAGAATTATTTAAACCTATGCAACGCAGTGGTTGTAATTCAATTTCAACTGGTAAGCCAACATACTGGCCGTCGAGTAACAACGAAATTCCGGACTTGATTGACTTCTTTGTCTATAAAAATGTCCCTTCTGCTCTTTTAGCTATCACCGAACGTTTTGACCTGAGCTCGACCATTCACTAATGCAGCTAATAATATCGTAAGATGCAGAACACATCCAAAGCTCACCAAAGTTGGTGAATTCTCTCACTTCTGGAAGTACTTTCAGACGCAACTGCAATTAATAATTACATACAATAACATCACTACCAGTGAGCAGCTCGATGATGCCGTACTTGAGTTTACTCAACAACTTTAACAGGCAACCTGGAATAGTACACCCAAAACTTGTTTACCGTGGAAAAAAATATCCGCGCTTTATCATGGAGTTAATTGCACGAAAGTGAAAACTGCGCAAACGCTGGCAACAAATCAGATCTCCAGAAATCAAATCAAAATTTAACTTAGCAAATAAACAGCTACATTTAAAACTAAAATCATACAAAAACAACAAATTCAACCAGCATCTGCTCGGTCTCACAGCCGATAAGAAAACTGAGTACTATTTATGGAAGGCGGCCAAATCTTTCAGCAAAACAATAAAACACATCGCTCCGAAACGCAGTGGACAAAACCAAGTCAGCAAAAGCCGAAATTGTTTGCTGAGCACCTAGAAAAGACTTTCAGACAAGCGAAAATATACACAACAATGAAATAAATATAACTTTAGTTACACCAAAGGAAGTTATAAACGAAATACACAACATGAAACTCAAAAAATCACCTGGATTCGATTTTATCACGGCTGAAGTCCTGCGCCACCAGCCAAAAAATTGTATTGACTATCTGGCCAACTTACTCAATACATGCTTTCGCATCAGATATGTTCCAATATACTGGAAATTCGCTGAGGTCATCATGATACCCAAGCATGGCTAACCGCCAAACGAGGTAACCTCATACAGGCCAATATCTCTACTGTCGGTCCTATCGAAAATATTCGAAAAACTGCTACTGACGCGACTGTTACCAATAATAGAGGAAAAAAACTGATTCAAATCTATCAGTTTGGTTTTAGGAAAAATCACTCAACAATTGACCAACTACATATATTTGTTAGCACCATAGAAAACGCGATGGAAGAGAAAAAAGTATGTTCTGCCGTATTTCTCGATGTGTCACAAGCTTTCGACAAGGTATGCAGGTTTGCTTCAAAAATTGAAAATCATGCTATCTACAAAGTACTATGAAGTGCTTTTAT